AGGAAGCAAGGAAGAAAGAAAGAGAGAGAAAGTGAAGGTGGGAAAGAAGGAAAGAAAGAGAAAGGGAAGAAAGGAAAGAAAGGAGGAAGGAAGAAGAGGGGGCAATGGAAGGAAGGAAAGAGGAAGAAAGGAAGGAGGAAGAGAGGGAGGAATAATACAAGGGAAAGGAAAAGAAAGGAAAGGAAAGAAGTGAGGAAAGAGAAAGAAAGAGAAACAGAAAGAAAGAAAGAAAGAAAGAAAGAGGGAAGGAAGGAAGGAAGGAAAGAAGGAAAGAAAGGAAGAAAGAGAGAGAAAGTGAAGGTGGGAAAGAAGGAAAGGAAGAGAAAGGAAGGAAGGAAGGAATCAGAACCGAACATCCCAGAATCCGGCCATTCTCCCCCTCCTACCCTGGAGCCCCCCCCTCCCCCCAGCACCCACCAACGCAGTAGCGCCCGTTGGGGGCCAGCACAAAGCCCAGCTTGCAAATGCACTTGAAGCTCCCGTCCTCATTGATGCACATTCCGTTCAGGCACATGTTGGTCGTGGCGCACTCGTCGTGATCTGTGGAGCAGAGGGCGAAGAAAGCCGTCAGAGGGGGGAGGGGGGCAGGGGGCTGCCCTATGGACCACCAATCCCGGGGAAGCCAAGAGATGCAGGCGGCTGGCAAGCGGAGACCTTGGCAAACGGGGAAGAGGTCTCGATGACCTTTGACACTCCCAGGGCTTGGCACCTCAGCCTATTTCCTACTGGCAACCTTTGACCCTGGCTGGTTTTGATGCCAGTCCAAATCAACTTAGATTATTTTATTTTTTTTGTTCTTGGTTGCTGCTTGGTAAAGAGTTCGTGTGTCCAAAACAATGGAATAATCTCAAATCGATAAACAGGGGTTCTTCCTTCTTTCCTCGCCCCTTCCCTCTTTCTCTATTTCCTCCTCCTTTCCCACCTTATCTTCCCTTCCTTCCTCTTTTTCCATTTTCTTCCTTCCTCTCTCCTTTTCCTCCATTACTCCTTTCAGCCTCTTGCCCAGGGGTGGGATTCAAATTTTTTAACAACCAGTTCTGTGGGCGTGGCTTCATTGGTGGGCATGGCTTGGTGGTCATGTGACTGGGTGGGAGTGGCTTGGTGGTCATGTTATTGGCAGGGTGTGGCCAACACAATATCACTCACATCAAGGCACGCATCTCCTCGCCTGGCTTCTCGTGACTGCGGGGATGCTGCAACAGTCGTAAGTGTGAAAAGTGGTCATAAGTCACTTATTTCAGTGCCATTGTAACTTTGAATGGTCACTCCACACAAGCAAAGGACCAGCAGAGGAGGGGGAAAAAACTCCAGAGAAGTTCCAGAGACAGGAAGTCTAGTCCTGCCAAGAATGTAATAAGGGTTAACGGAGAGGCAGTTTCTGTAAGCAACACCAGAATGTTTCCTTCCTGCCTTCCTTACAGGATTAGCCCAGTAATTCCTTCTAACAACCGGTTCTCTGAACTGCTTAGAATGTTAACAACCAGTTCTAGAGAATAGGTGCGAACTGGTAGAATCTCACCCCTGGTCTTGCCCCTTCCTTCCTTCCTTCCTTCCTTCCTTCCTTCCTTCCTTCCTTCCTTCCTTCCTTCCTTCCTTCCTTCCCTCCTTCCTTCCTTCCTTGCTTCCTTCCCTCCCTCCCTCCTTCCTTTCCTTCTCCCTCCTTTCCTCCCTCCTCCCTTCCTTCCTCTGTTCCTTCCTTCCATTCCTCCCTCCCTCCTTCACAATAACCCTTATATACCGCTTCACAGTGCTTTTACAGCTCTCTCTAAGAGGTTTACAGGGTCAGCCTGTTGCCCCCAACACTCTAGAACCTCCTTTTAATGATCTTGGAAGACTGGAATGCTGAGTCAACCTTGAGCCTAGTGGGATTGGAACTGCCAAATTGCAGGCAGCCAGCAGGCAGCCGAAGTAGCCTGCAGTACTGCACTCTAACCACCGCGCCACCACCGCAGATAAGCCAGAACACTCAGATAAGCAGGGATTAATACCAGACAAATGATCAAGCAGAAAACAATATCCTAATCAAGGAATTACCAAGGAGAGAAATAATTAAGCAAACAAGGCTGCAGTATTGCATTCTAACCACGGCTCTTCACAATGCACAGTTGTAGACACCATCTTGACTTTTCTGATCATACCCTGCAGTTTAATAACAGCTCATGGCCCATTTTAGAGCCGTGTTTCTCAACCACGGCCCCTTTAAGACGTGTGGACTTCAACTCCCAGAATTCTCCAGGCAACACTGCTGGCTGGGGAATTCTGGGAGTTGAAGTCCAAGCCTTTTCAAATGGACGACGTTCAGAAAACACTGAATTAAGAGGGAACCATCGGTCCGAGTTACCCTGGACAGGGGGAGCAGCCCAAAGCCACGATGGGTGTGGCCATGACATAGAAGTAGGCATGGCCATGCCACGATTACATCACTCAAGTACAGGAAAGAGCCAGAACTTCATTGAGGTGGAGGGAGTGGCGGTTTGGTGCATAAAGCCAAAATAAATTTGGTGTTTCTTTTCTGGAGCATCTGCACACGAGGGAGGATTTCAAGATACTAGTTGCAACGACGTGCTTTTTTTTTTTTTTTACGTGCATGCAAAATGTGTATAAAATGGCACTTGTTATTCACATTTTGCCCAGAAATGGCACAGGTGGTGTGAAAGAAATGAGGGAAGGCTGACTAGATTCCCCGATTGCCTCCCCTCGCCCTAAACCTCCAGCCCCTTATCTTACCTGCACAGTTCTTCCCATCCGGCGTGATTTCAAAGCCAGCGTTGCAGATACATTGGAAGCTGCCGTCGGTGTTCACACAACGCCCATTCCGACACATCACGCCGTTCATGATGCATTCATCGATATCTGGAAGAGGATCCACAGGGTGAATCCAACTGCCTGGCTCCTATTTAGCTGGACAACCAGCTAAATAGGAGCCAGCCGTGTGCAGCAGCAGCCCAAAAAGTTAATGCAATCCTAAATTGCATTAACAGAGGGATACAATTGAGATCAAGGGAGGTACTAATACCTCTCTATAAAGCCTTAGTAAGACCACACCTAGAGTCCTGCACCCAGTTTTATTCGCCACATTATAAAAAAGAAGTTGAGACTCTAGAAAAAGTGCAGAGATGATTAGGGGACTGGAGGCTGAAACATACGATGAACTGGTTGCAGGAACTGGGCTTGGCTAGTCTAGGGAAGAGAAGGACCAGGGGAGACAGGAGAGCAGCCTTCCAGTATTGGAGGGGCTGCCCCAGAGAGGAGGAGGAAGGGGTCAAGCTATTTTCTAAAGCTCTTGTAGGCCAGACAAGGAACAATGGATGGAAACTGAACAAGGAGAGAGATTTAACCTGTAAATAAGGAGAAACTTTCTGACAGTGAGAACAATCAACCCATGGAAGAGAAGTTGCCCTCGGAAGTTGTGGGAGCGCCATCACTTGAGACTTTTAAGAATAGATTGGACTGCCATTTGTCAGAAATGGTGTAGGGTCTCCCACTTGGGCAAGGGGTTGGACTAGATGACCTATAAGGTCCCTTCCCACTCTGATTATTTGTAATCTGTAATCTGAATCATGTGTCCTTAATACCCTAATCCTAACCTTGGCTACTTTAAGCCCTTTGGACTTCAATTCCCAGAATTCAAGATCCCATAAGGTAGTAATCCCATGGTCAGCGTTCCAACTAACCAACTCCAACCCAATAAACTCCGAGACAAGCATTTCCTCAGTGCTCCATTTTATTAGAGTTGTCATATTGGCACATCTGGAAAAAAAACAAATCTGAAAGTTCCAGGTTTTCCGTTCCCAAAAGAGAATCCATTCCCTGCACCCACCAGTCCATCACTTGGTCCAACCAAATCTTTGTCCCAACTGGAGACCTTCCTTCAAATACTCCCCTTCAGGTGCAGGGCGACATATCCTTGACTTTCTGAGAAAGAATGTTGTTGAGTCTAATCTTCCACATCTCTGTGAAACCCCCCCTTCCAAATTCCCCAGCACTAAATGTGGCAGCCTTGAAGCTTCCAAATAAAATATGGCTTCCAAGGCTGACACCCACCCTATAAAGCCTTAGTAAGACCACACCTAGAGCACTGCATCCAGTTTTGGTCCCCACACTATAAAAAAGATGTTGAGACTCTAGAAAGAGGGCAGAGAAGCGCAACCAGGATGATGAGGGGATTGGAGGCTGAAACATACGATGAACTGGTTGCAGGAAATGGGCCTGGCTAGTCTAGGGAAGAGAAGGACCAGGGGAGACATGACAACAGTCTTCCAATATTTGAGGGGCTGCCACAGAGAGAAGGAAGGGGTCAAGCTATTTTCCAAAGCACCTGAGGGTCAGACAAAGAACAATGGTTGGGAATTGATCCAGGAGAGATTCAACCTGGAAATAAGGAGAAGTTTTCTGACAGGGAGAACAATCAACCCATGGAACAGAAGTTGCCTTCAGAAGTTGTGGGAGCTTCCATCCCTGGAAGCTTTCAAGAAGAGACTGGACTGAAAAGGTGTAGGGTCTCCTGCTTGGGTGTGGGGTTGGATTAGATGACCTACAGGGTCCCTTCCAACTCTATTAATCTATATCTAATTCCCCAGCCAGCATGGTTGTCTGGGGAATTCTGGGAGTTGAAATCTACCCATCAGCTACATCGGTTGAGAAACTGCGGCCTCAAAGAACTGCAAGTAAGCCTAGGGCGGCCCTCTACTTCTTCTGCCACTCAGAATCCTCAAATGGGAGGGGTCTTGCACACACACACACACACACACACACCCAGTTCAATCCCAAACCCCATGCCTGGAATATTCTCAGAGGCTCCTACCTTTGGTCCAAATATGGAGCGAAGGGTCCCAAATAACGTGAAGGAAATTGTGACCGTGATGCAATGGAAGGGTCATGACTTTTTTGACCCCACGTGGGTCTCCCTCCTTGCAATCTGGTTTGATTCCCATTCCTCCCAGGCACGGATCCCAGGGAGAGTGTCACCTTTGAACTTACCAATGCAGGCCTGTTTGGTGGGCGTGCTCTGGAAACCTTCGTGGCACTTGCAGTGGTAGGAGCCAGGGGTGTTCACACAATCGCCGTGGAGGCAGGGGCTGCTCGAACACTCATCCATGTCTTGTAACGAGAAAGAGAGAGAGGGGGAGGGAGAGGGAGGGAGAGAGTAAATATGAGACAGTTGGAGATATCTCTATGTGTGTGTATGTGTGTGTGTGTGTTTGTGTGTGTATCTACATATACACTTATATACACTACATATATTTATTCTGTTACTTGTGATCAACACTAGAGGAGCACCGGTCATCTCTGTTTCAAGGCCTTTGACCGGCGCTGTCTGAAGACATTTCCATGGCCATGTGGCCAGCAAAACATCACAGAGTTCTGTTTCCTCCCCCACCACAACGAAGTGGTACCTATTTATCTACTCGCATTTGCATGCTTTCCGGAGGTTTTGACCAGTTCTTGTGGAACCGGTAGTGGAAATTTTGAGTAGTTCGGAGAACCGGCCAATGCCACCTCTGACTGGAGATTTTATAGTCTCCTTCCCCTGCCACGCCCACCAAGCCACGGCTACAGAACCAGTAGTAAAAAAATAATAATGAATCCCACCACTGATACTTTCGAACTGCTAGGTGGGCAGGAGCTGAGTGAGGACAGGAGGACGGGGGTCTCAAACCTGGGCTGCCAGGTTTTATATAGTCTATCTCCAGTTGACTTATATTGGTTTAATTTGAGCACCGTGCTCTGCAAAACCCACTTAAGTTTTGAGACAAAGTTGCTTTTCCTAAAAATTATGGATTGGAAAAGGGGCTACCAGGTGCCTTCTGATTTTTGCATGTTTCGTATGTTTTTTTTTTCAGGGGGGAGGTCTTCACTCATTGGGGGAATTTGGACTTTTAGTAAGACCCTCACGCTCTTGGTTATTTTAACAGATCAGAGACCTGTCAGAGTATATTCATGAACTGGAATAGAGCATGGTAACAAGGCCAGCCAATCAATAGGCATAGCAACTAAGTCAGCCAATGATGACTGTTTGGAAACTGAAACTAGAAGTAGCGTAGGTGTGGCTCTATATGAAGCTCTGCAGCTATGTTGAATTCTGAGTCTGTCTATTGAAGATGAAACTAACTTGCTTGCTTGCCTGCTGAACTAAAGTGAAACTGAGGTCTGTTTCCGAGCTCCTGAGTTGCTACTGAAGTTACTTGCAACATGGTTCTGCCTGAGTTTGCTCCGTGTTGGAGAAATCTACAACTGTTTTGTGAAATCTACTTATTACGTTTATAAAGATGTTAAAGGAAGCATCAGCCATCTGTGTTTATTTTTTTCTGGCGCTGAATTAACGCTGCAAAACAAGAACAAAGCCTGCCCCTTTGGAGAAAGAAAAAGAAAGGAAGGAAGAAAAAGATTCCAGTCCATTTTCAGAAGACGCCTAAAAGCAATCCCTTCCCTGTTAAAACAGAAGGAAGATGCAATTGGTGGTGGTTTTTTTTTTTTTTGGGAAGGACCGAAAACCCATTTTTTCAGCATCGTAGGCCTCCTGGCATCTGTGATGCCATCTTTCCTCACAAAACTGAAATAAATACTGCCCCAATCATTTATCTTCATCCAAATGGTCCATTATTGTAATGAATGGCCCAAGCCTTATTCCCACGCCGGTCGTTGGATAAATAGATTCAGGGAGATTGGGAGAAGCATAAAATTGTCGGGCGGAGACATCCCATCCATAACTTAAAAGCCTCCGCCGTTGCCAGGCTGGCCTCCCCAAATGTTTTTACATCAGATGACCTGAAAGATTTTATTTTAATCTGCTCTGAGTCACATCCTAGCAAGGAGCCAGGCAGTTAATATTACACACAGCAACGGCCATAAAGACAAATAACAGAATGAATGATACGGGTCCCCTAATTGTCTCAGACCATTTTTTTTTTTTTACATTCGGTCTTTCCAGGAAATTAATTGGGTCGGTTAAATCTGCCATTCCCTTCGGACCGCTTTGCAAATTGCATCTCTCTGCAAATGGTTTTGCAAATCCCATTGTTGCATGCAGAGTGTCATGCCCCCGTCGGAGCCTGACGTGGTTCGCTGGCAGCCGGCAGCAGAATCAGACAGTGAGGAAGAAAGGGGACCAGTCAGGGAGACTGGGGAGGACTCGGACGAGGGTCCTGCATCCGATGCAGAGATGGGGCCAGGACCATCTGGGAGTGGGGTGCTGCCTCTGGAGCCTTTGGAGTCTGGCAGCAGCGAGGCAGAGGAACGAGGGGACCCCAGTGTGCATATGCGCAGAGCTGCCCGAAGGTGAGAGCAGCTGAAACAGAAGGGGAGACTTGGGAGTAAGGCTGGGAGGTGATTGCCCTTCCCATAAGGGATAAAAGTCAGACCTCAATGACGAAACCTTTGCAGGAAGCAAAATAGTTCAATCGGTTCTGAGTCCTCCTTGAAAGCTCTGTGTGCTTTGGTTGGTTTTTTCCTGGTACTTCAGTTGGTTTCTGTTATAATTAATCGGATACTTCTGTTTTTGGCAGCATTCCACAGCACTGAAAGGTGGGTGCTTATCTTGGGGAACTGTTTACAATTAGTTCTGGCTGGGAATGAAAACCATTCCCAGTGTTGCAATAAAATAGCTTTTCCTTTTAAAACAAGTTTGTGATTAATCACATTTGATGAAGACACCTGTCAGAACACATGAATCTTGCAGAGGAAGACGAATGGGAACTGGAGCTGAAGGGGATCAAGGGGGTGGCTTAAAGCAGGCCCAGCCAGGCCAGGGCCTTTCAGGATTGGGATGGCTGGTAGGCAGGGAGGAAGGCAGGCAGGATGACCAAGAGAGAGGCTAAGCAGTGAACGTGAGGGACTGAGCTCAGCCGATGAGCAAGGATCACCCACTCCTGATCCTCGAGCACGGAGAGTGGAGAGAAGGGCAGGAACAGTGCAGGCTGACCCGGCTACTCGGGAAGGAGAGCGCCCCGCCCCGTCTACAAGCACAACGGGGGACTGAGGCTTAAGGAGGAGCTGGAGGGAGGGGCACTTGTCGGGAACAAATGCTGACATTTGAACTTTCCCAGATTCCTTGCATTCTTTCTGGATTTCTTGCTTTGCAGCAAGGCAGTGAGAACAATCCGCCCATGGAACAGAAGTCGCCTTCAGAAGTTGTGGGAGCTTCATCATCCCTGGAGGCTTTCCAGAAGAGACTGGGCTGCCACTTGTCAGTGTAGGGTCACCTGTTTGGGTAGTGGGTTGGACTAGATGACCTACAAGGTCCCTCCCAACTGTGTTCATCTGTTATTCGTTTTGTGGATTTCTCCTGCACATTTTTGTTACGAGGGCCCTTAACATCCACCTCCCTGGCTTTGCACAACAGGCTAACCCTAAATCAAACAGAACAGCAGGCAACACCTGTGTTTATCTGACCCAGGGTGGGAAACTGTTCTTCTCTTATGATTTGTGGACTTCAACTCCCAGAATTCTTGAGCCAGCATGGACTTTGTTGGAATGGTACAGTGGCTTAGAATCACAATCAGGAGGCTGGGAGTTCAATTCTAGGTACAGGCAGATATTTCCCTCTCTGAGTACACTGAGAATATATCTGCTGAACTCTGCATTGGCAACAGGAAAGGCATCCGGCCAGGAAACCCTTAGCTCTGTTCAGTTGCCCAGACTCCTCCCTGCAAGGGATTATGGGGTTGTTAAAAGAAGATGAAGATCTTCCGGTTTGCAAGGCTTAGGCGGCAGCAGGAATCCACGATCGTGCGCGGTTTCTGCTGTGCTCGCCGCTGGAGTGCCCCCAATCCAGCCGGATTTGGGGGCTAATAGTTACCCCATAGAGGTAACTGAAGATAGGGGAGATCCGGCAGGGGTCCGGGGGAATCGCAACCCCCCTGCTCAGCTGGCTTAACTCCCTTTTCCGAAAGCGGTGGAGCGGCGGTCAGCAATGGCCACCACAAAGAAGCTTTCATCGGATAAGAAAGTGCAGGAGGAAGCTTGAGAAGTGAAAGTTTTTTGGCTGACCGGGATAATAAGTAACATTTAAATACCCTGGAATTTAAACTTCATTAAAGATACATCGTTCCCAAAGAAGATCGGAAAAAGCGGCGGATGAAAGTTAAAAGGGAAAGTTTGTTTTTTCTCACTCTCCTTCCTTACGGTGATAGCAGATGGAAATCAGAAAAACCCGTTTTGGCATCAGCAGGTAATTAAACTTGAAAATTAAAGCCAAGGGGACATTAAAGATTTCTGAACATTGGGGAAAAAAAACTTTTTTTTGCTATAAGTGGAAAGGGAGAGGAAAAGAATTAATATTAAGATTTTTGCTGGAGGAGGCTGCTTGGAACTTATAAGACTAGAGTTGAATTGTAACAAGACTTCTAAAAGATATATTTTGGAACTTTGCAATTGAACTGTAACCCCAAGCAGAAAAAGTATAAAAAGAAGAAAGTGCTAAATGAAACAGACTGTGTGTATTTGGATTGCTTGGTGACTTTGGGACCTTTGGAAATTATTTTTTGAAAGACTAAAAACATTTGGGTTGTTTAAATTTTTTTTTCATAATGGCATTATTTGTTGATGAACTCAAAATGGAATTTAAAAAGCTAAAAGAAGAGGAACAAGAAGGGAAGGGCTCTTCTGGATCTGTTTTTCATTTCTTAGAAATGGTGATTTTTACCTATCAGAAACTACAAGAAAAACAAGAAGAGCAGGATGAAGAAGAAGCCATCTTTAATGAACAAACAACTCTAGCTGAGGAAGAAAAGGGAAAGAGAGGAAAGAGAATGGAGAATTTAAGACTTAAAAAAACAACCAAAAAAGGGAAAAATAAGGTGAAAAATCGATATAATGTCAGAAAGCAACAGAAAAGAGGAATACAGAAGAGGGTGGAGATTAAGAGGGTGGAGATCAAGAGACGGGGGTGGGGGGGTAAAAAGGCTAGATTGGAGAAGAAAGAAAGGGAAAAGGGGAAGAAAAGTTACAAAGGTTTGAAACAAGATGTAAAGAAACAGGATTTATTCAGAGATAATGGGTAAAAATATAATTAAAAAAGAGATTCTGCAAAAGTACATAAGACTGTATTGTTGTATTTCTATTTGAAATAATGTTAGAAAACTGGAATATTATATGATTATAAAATGGGATAAAATATTAAAAGGAATGTGTAAAATGTTAAGATTTAACGATAGAGTTTAACTTGCTATTGATTATTGTTCTAATTATATTATAAACTTATTATCTTTCTATTTTAAAATATGGTACATAGCTTTAGAATGTACTAAGCAGAATCAGAATGAAAATTATATATTATTTTAAGTGTTAAATTTAGGGGAAAGATATAAAGGCGTCATACTTCAATCAGTGATTACAGGAGAAATTTTGTGTTAATGAGAAAAGATAAATAGATAATTGAAATAGAACAGACAAAAGATACAAGCATAATGATTTAAATTGAAATGAAATAAATAAAATAGAATTAAGAGAGTGAAAAGAGGGGAGAAGCTATATAGAAAATGGAGAATGGTAAATAAGATATGAAATGGTATATAAAGTGAGCATGAATTTGATTTATGTCTGTACAAAAGATGTAACCCGGGACTAAGCCGCTTTCCAAAAATAAGTTTTATGTTCTCATGTTTTGTGTTTTGTTTGTGTATGTTTGTTTACTGAAAATTAATAAAATTTTTATTAAAAAAAAGAAGAAGATGAAGATAGGGCAGGAGTTTGATCTCATGGTCCAAGTCACCCTCTTCCCTTTTTGGGGATCTGCAGCCCCCCACCTTGGCTGCGAACCGACGCTCAGCCCGAGGGGAACCAGCATCGGCCTGGCTTTTGCACCGACCGCGGTTTGCTCACCGATACACTCGCCCCGCACGTCTTGCTTGTAGCCCATGTTGCACTCGCAGCGGTAGCTGGACGGGGTGGGGATGCAGCGCCCATTCAAGCACAGGTTGGTGAAATGCTTGCAGATGTCGATCGTCTGGTTCAGCGTCGCTGTGCCTAGAGGAAGCATGAGAGCGGGAGTGGTTCATGCGGACGGAAAGCCCCCCACCCCCCAATTCTCAGGGAGGGGTCTTGCCAGGGGCAGAAACACCCTCATGGGCACACCAAGCCCCCTGATCAAAATTCAAGACCTTCCTGGGGGCAACACAGCAATGTTCGGGGTTGCTGAACCACGAGGACTAGAATCTTAGTTTTTACAGAAAGGACGTTTAGAGTAAGATCCAGACTCTGGGAAATATCCCCCAACCCAAATTCACTGATGGGCCTCAGATGTTGGTGGGTTTGCTTCCAAGACTGACTTTCTATCTACCTATCTACCTATCTATCTATGTCATCTATTTACCTACCTACATACCCATCTATTTACTGTATCATCTATCTATCTATCT